TAGTGGTCTGGTGAAGAACAGCAAACCTTCACCACTTATTCTGGCAAGGTAGACTGGTTTGATATTTAGTGATAAATTGCCACGGAGGTTTACAAACTATCAGTTAATCTTTGCGGTATGGACGTGCTAAGATAAGGCAAATTGAAGATGATATTCTTGTAGAGGACTATGTATATATAAATGTATGTATTTGTGTATGCATTTTGTGTTCATGCCTAAATGTTTTTCTTTTCACAGGAGTATGATGTAGGAGAACAGTTGGGAAGGGGTGGCTTTGCCACTGTGTACAGAGCACGATGCAGAAACACAGGAAGGGATGTGGCTATTAAAAAGGTTCAGTAATACAAGTTGATTTTTATTTGTTAGAAACATAGATGAATTATTTATTTCCATGCTGTTTGTGTTCCTTTCCTTTGTCCCGTTTTTCTTCTTTTCCTCATTTTCGTCTTGTAGTTTTCCCTTTCATTTTGCTTTAGTCATCTCATTGTTCACTCATATTTTGTTTTCTCATGATTACTCCAATTACAGAGACACCATAAGAGAAAAACAAGCTAGCATCTTTTGAAAATCAAGTTTACATTCCAGATCAACAAGAGTGAAATAGCTGCTGGTGGACTCATAAACCGCGTTCGACAGGAGGTGACGATCCATTCCAAGCTGAATCATCCAGCAATACTCAAGCTGTATGCATTCTTCGAGGACCAGAGCTTTGTTTACCTTGTGTTAGAGCTGTGCTCTAGAGGCGAGCTTCAGAAGCATATCAAAAGTCTGAGAAGAGTCTTAAATGAAGATGAAGGTTATTATGATTTCATTGTCCCTATCTTACTGTCTCACTTTTTGGAAGTATTGGGTTATTTTTTAGATAAAGTGAAATTGTGGTCAAATAAAACTATACAGTTATTGATTCTGTGATGAATACAAGCAGTATTCCATACATACATATGCTAATATGTATAGCAGCAATATATCGTATTTATCTTATGTGGACGTGGACTTGGCATTGATTCTGGACATGGTAGTCTCATATTTCTTAATTGAACAATATATGCACATTAAAGGTTTTCAAAGAGTTTCAATTATCTGCTTTTCTCTCGCTTTCCTAAATTTAATTATATATTTTCTCCTCACCAGCTCGTGAATATCTCAGTCAGGTGGTGGCAGGGATGCTGTACCTCCATTCCCAGTCCATCATGCACAGAGATCTTACATTGTCTAATCTCTTACTTGACAATAATGGTAAGATTAAAATTGCCGATTTTGGACTTGCAACACAATTGCGTCGCCCGGATGACCGACACATGACAATGTGTGGAACACCCAACTATATAAGGTATCTTAATGACTATCTTTCATTATTAGCATATTGTAATTGCTATTACTTTCTATTATTATTGTTATTATTATGATGACTTTTTTGTTAGTTTTTTAATTACTTTTTTATTTATTTATTTATTTTTTTCTTGTATTTAATAAAAGAAAGTGTAACAGCAACTTTGTGATGGAAGTCAAGAATTTAAAGTTACAAGTACAGTTAAAGTTTTCAGTTTTTATGAAGTTGTTCATGAAAACAATGGAAGCACAAAGTTTCCATTTCCTTTTTCATATAAGGTTTATTCTAGGTATAATGGTACTCATTCATATACAAAAATCTTGCATAAGAGTTATTCAAACTTGGATGTCTTCTAGACTTTTAACTACAGCTTTCTCCCACCAGTCCTGAAGTAGCCACCCGCAGTTCCCACGGCCTCGAGTCTGACGTGTGGAGCCTAGGGTGCATGCTCTTCATAATGCTTGTGGGACATCCAGCAGTTTTTCCCTTCAATTTTTCCACGCGTGTGGGAATAGAGCCAGTGGTAAATTCGAGTCTGAGAGAACAAAATTCGAGAAGGGAAAATTTTATTTTAATATATGTTTTTTTTTTTTTCTTCTTCTTCTTCTTGGTTGTTTGTGCTGTGTCACAAATTTTATACTTGTTCATTTAAAGAAAAATAAGCATCTTGGGAAATTTCCAGCAATTGTTAATGATTGGCATTATTTACAGATCCCAAGTTATGTGACAGCAAATGCCCGTTCCCTTATTTCGGAGTGTCTCAAGAAGAATCCAAGAGAGAGGATCAAGCTTCAGGCCATCCCCCATCATCCCTTCATGGCAGTTGGAGGCAAAACTGACATCTCAAGAACATCAGATAGTGGACTATACACTATGACTACTGTGGCCACCACACAGCACACACGACCTCCTTTGACGACCATTTCTGAGAGTGATTTGTCAGATACAGAGTCGAGTGGATCAGAGAACAGACAAGGAGGGCATCATCATAGGTTGCCTTACCTCAGGCACCCTCCATCGCCTCCAATTCGAATGAAGTCCAAGTAAGTATGATGTTCATGTTTATTGTTTTGTTCATGGATTTCAAGAAAACGTTACATTTCCTTTAAATGTGAAATACCATGATACTGTGTGCCATACATGGATTTGTGAAGTAGGCAGTGTTTATATCTATTTTATTTTTTCTTCTTTTCAGCCCAAAAGACTTACTTCCACCAAATGCTGGGGTGATAGATACCCTGAAAAGAAAATTCACCCCATTACCTTCACTGCAAAGAGGGGATTTTGGTCATTCTAATATGCCAATGCCTCCTCTGATTAGACGAGAACGAGATGTTTCAGAGGAGAGACAAAAGCACCAACTGATGTACAGCCAGAAGCAGTCATCTCATAGTGATGATCGTTCCGACTCCTCTCAGTATTCCTCCTCACACATGAGTGATGAAGCTTATCATTACCATTCAGGCGAGAAGAGAAGCAGCAGGACCAGGGATCACAGTGCAAGCAGAAGTCAAGACTATCATTCTGCAGGCAGAAGTCCAAGCAGAAGAGAGAGGTCCCATGAGCGCTATGGTAGTGCCCACAGGGAAGTGTCAGATAATTACAGAATTCACAGTGACACCGAAGAAGCAAAGGAGAGAGGAGGTCATCCACGTAGCAGGTCAAAACAGAGAAGCTACTGCCAAGATTATCCTCAGAAGTCAGAAAAAGGCAACAGGGATGCTTACCATTCAGAGGAAAGGAAAGAGCATTACCGCTATGGACGGCCTTCAGAAAGACATGATGAAAGGCCCCATAGAGAACATTCTGGTCATAGACATAGAGAATCATCCAAAGATAGGTATAGTGAAAGAAACCGAGATGATGAATACCAAAGAAATAGATCAAGAGAGAGACATCAGCATTATCACAGTGAGAAAACTAACAGGAGAAGGGATGAGGAACCATATAACCAGAAGACTCACCCGTGTTGTGAGAGTTCACAACATAGATCCTGGTGTAAGCAAAAAGGACGTAATGATTCAGAAAAGAATGTATCTAACTATGAAAGAAGTAGATACACTAGTAGATGTGAAAATGACAGATATGGTGCAAGTGACAGAGTCCATGTTCCAAGTCAGCATAGGCACACACAACATGAACAACCAGTCAGAGCTGAGGGGTCATCATCTCGTGATATAAATATCCTGGGTGACCTTGCCCCTGTTAAGAATTCAGTTCAATCTAAGAAGGACAGTGAAGATGCAAGACCAGGCCATGGTGGCACAGTGCATGAACAGCATCCTGTAACTCCAACGAAAAGGAAACCAGATTTGAACTGCCAGACTCTTAAGCAGCAAGTTTCTCCTCTTTCATCAAGAAGGCTGAAGCCTATCCGTCAGCGCACTAAGAATGCCTTTCTAAATATATTGGAGAATGGCGAAATATGCTTAGAATTCCTTCGCAATATGAAAGGACAAGAAGTTGTTGCTGATGTTTGCAGGATATCACCAGATGGAATGAGGGTAAGATGTATTATGATTTTTATACATTTGTGTTTAGGCAAGAATTTGTAATGTGGAGAGATTTATATAGGTAGTTAGATAAGTAGATAGATTAAAAAATAAGCTAATAGATATGAATAGATAAAAACACACACTTCTTCACTTAAAGCCTTTTCCAATGACATTAATTCTCTTTGCAGATTGTCCTTTACCAACCAAATGGAGGTTCTGGGTTACAGCCTGGAAGTGCACCTCCACCATTGCCGACAGAAGGGGCAGATTCCATTTATGGCTACGAAAACCTTCCAGCTAAGCATTGGAAGAAATACGTTTATGCTGCCAGGTATGTCTCCTAAACTGCAAATGTTTCTTGATGGCCTTTGGTTTGTAATCTTCTTTGCATGGGTGGCTGCATTATCGTTAACAAAGGTTTTACTTTACAGATTTGTGAAGGTAGTGAAGGCAAAGACTCCTAAGATTACTTACTACAGTGATCAAGCCAAATGTTTACTGATGGAGAACTCACCTGATCCTGACTGTGAAGCAATCTTTTATCATGGTATATTTTTGTATATTTTCAAGACTATATTCATTAGTCATCTATTATGTCTAATTAAAAATTTCATTTTTATTTGTAGTTATGATAGAAAACTTTTAAAAAAGTCATTAGAGTTACTTTATTAATTATTTTCTTATTTAAGGGAAGCATATATTTTAAGAAATCGGACAATGGCATTTGACACTTTATGAAAAGCAGTGCAGCACTTTGGTCTCTGAAAGGGGAATGGCAATAGTATATTGAAGTACAAACATTTTAGGAATATTAATTTTCAGGGATGAAAATTCAAGCATTTCAGAGATGTCATAGCATAAATTCTTGAAATGTGACAAAAATAGAATGTAAGTCTTGTGGATGTTCCAAAAAGCTGCATATTTGATCTGATATAAATTCTGTTTTACAAACTGGATCAGCAAAATTTGTCTTTTAGTAATTATTTGAATTGGACTCTAGTTCTCAAGGCTCATAGCTATGGTTCTTCACACTCTCCTACCCCATTTAAGATTGTTAGGTTGATACTCCGAAGGTTAATTTTTACCGTGGTTAATTTTGTGGATCAGCTGTAAGCATTTGTTTTTAATATATAATATGGAATGTATTGAGATAGATAGGTGTGTTTATATGATTATGCATAACAGACTTATGTTGCACCCTTTACCATTTACCAAACCCTGTGGCTTAATAATACTTCTGGGAAGGTACACATTCAGGGCTCTAAATTAGGAGTAACAATTTGAACACCCTCCCCTGATTCCAAAAGAGAAAAGTAAAGAATGAAGAAGAAAAGAAATATATAATTATATCGAAGGGTAAAGGTGCTGAGGTGGGTTTCATAGTTTTTGGGAAATTATGAAAAAGTGAATATATTTATGTGTGGCCGAAAGTTTGAAATACCTTAAAAGGACTTTCCTTTTCTTTTTTAAGGCAAAATAAATACATACAATAAGCTTCTACATTAAAAAGGTTCAGTTGTGGAAGAGCAGCTGTATCTAGCACATAGGGCTTTCCTGAAAATCATTTCCATTATTAGTACATTAGATGGTTGGCATTAATTCATTCATTACTGTTTTGCATTTATCTTTTTTACAAACAATTTCTTTCCACCAGGTACAAAAATCACAAAGAGTGGGAAGAATGTGATGTTAACAGAAACGACTGGGGTAGTACACAAAATACCGCAGCCATCTGGACACCATAACCTACCTGAGCAGCTTCAGCCAATTTACCTGCACTTCAAACAGGTATTTATTAATATGAATAACCCTTGGATATTGCATAGTAGAGATGCTGATAATGTAAGCATGTGATTAATTACTTTTGTTTTAATTTATTTATTTGTTTATTTTTTATTTGTTTATTTGTTTTTTATTTTTTTATTTATTCTACTATAAATGCTTTTTTTATTATTATAATAATAATTTTTTAGGTGACATAATATAGTTTCCTATAAAGAAGCAGAAGACATATATGCTGTATGGTGATTTTATCTCTAGATAAATAACTTCTTCGCTTACTGTATGAATTCTGTAGCTTCTGAGCTTGAAAAGGATACATCAGTCTAATTTTACTCCAATCATCTCTTATCAGATCCATGAGCACTGCCTGTATTTAGAAAGAGTTCTCTCAGAGGTTGTTGAAAAGACTGGTCTGGGTTGCTTTCCCATCATTGTAGGACGTAAGCCTGCATCGGTATCAGCAACTCCTCCTAGCAGTGCTCGCAGTTCTTCTAGCCCACGAGAAGATAAAGAAAACCTTTCACCAGTGTCTGTGCAGTCATACAAATTACCAAGAAATGTTGCAGCACAGGTAAATTAAGTACATTGTCTCAGTTTTATTGTTAAATTTTATTTGATTTGAAGATAGTCTGATTTATTACACTGGCAGACATTTAGCAATGACAGAACATAATATGCAAATTCAAATAATTCCTCGTTTTTAATTTTTGATAAATATTATTTGTTTATGGTATGACACTGACAACTTCTCTTTGTTCCCTATCTTCTAAAAGCTTGGGTCATTTGAGGGCTCTGTTGCAAGTGTTCAGGTCGAAGGAAACTTCGTCCCTCGACTGCGTGCACCACTGAATCCCCACATCCCTCGAAATGACTCCAAAGGAACAACGGGTTCTTCAAAACATTCTGTCTCTCGAGTCTATGTTCACAACATTGGCTGGGCATCACAGGTATGTTATTTGGAGCTTAAGTAAGGTTTCAGCTAGGGATGATGATCAATTTTCTGATGAATGTACTCTATTGTAATGTGTATGTTACAAAAATAGTCATTTTTATCAGTTTTCTTTTCATGTCAGTTTTGAAATTAAAGTACCTGAAATTAAATGTGGACCATTGTATATGACTTATTTATTAAATGAATGCAAAGTTATACAAATGTCTAAAGTTCAACTTGAAAGATGTAAAAAAAATGCATGTTAATAATCTCCTCATTCTCATTTATGCCTTTTGTTTCTCTGAGGCAGACTACTTTAAAATAGTTTTAAATTTCTAATGCATTTCTATGAAGAAAAAAAAAAAAAATTGGAATTTGAACTTCCTAATCTTCTTTCAATGATAGTTTTACTTTATAATTCTTATAGCACTAAGACAAGATTAGATATAATCAAAATACCACATTTCAGGATGAAGAGGGACAGGTATCAGTGGAATACCTTGATGGAACACAGCTGCAGGTCAGCAGCAACTCGCCAAAGGTGGTCTTCACTGACGCATCTGGAGTCTCAGCCACATACTCAAGCAATGACAAGTTGCCGCTCTCTGTGCAGCAGAAGCTTTCCCAGATGCAGGTTGTGCTGACATCCCTTGCCAGGCCAACTGACTCCTCTGCCACTCCAAGACTTACTCACCCTGTTGGCCTTAGATAGAAGTGAAGAATTATTACACTTGCATTGTTGCAGTGGCAGTGGACTTGTTTGGAATAATGTGCTAAAAACATTATTTTATAGATGCAATCCATTTTCATTATAAGTTAAGTACAAAGTGCTTTTCAAATGATAAGGACACCGTGACATCTCAAGCAATGCTTGATTGAGGTTTTAATGCTGGCTATTATTGCTTATCATTTTTAACTAATCATGTGCAAAATATGTCTTCCAAAGAAAGCAGTGCTTAACATTATTTTGCCGATAATGATGTCTTCCTGAATGCATAATGTTGAAGTGATATTTTTCAGGTGTAAATTTTCTGAAACCTGATATATCTTCCTATAGGACTTCCACCAAGCTTTAGCTTTGCATCCTTAAAAGGAGATGCAAAATCTTCAATCTCCTTTGAATACTGAAAACCATTTGTATTTCTTATATTATTTGAATCATTGTTACTATGACATTTGTAAACAAAGAGTCAAAAGTTTCCTAAACAAAGCTAATGGGCTTCCAAATCCAAAAATAAATGAGTAATAAGTAAATTATAAAACATGAGGATGAAAATAAGCATGTAAATCAAAACTAGATTATTATAGATGAATGTGATGTACCTTCATAATCTTTCTCGATTTTTTCTAGTTGACTCTCTTCAATAACCACTCTGTCCTCTTCTTTACTCTTTTCTTCTTTCATCGGTCACATCACCCTGTAATTTCTTTTGACCAGCAATGTTTATATTAAATATGGCAGCTTCCTTTGCTATCCTAATTGTTGAACTACTGGCAGAAGAATCACCATAGGACTATAACAGTGGACAGTACCTCTTCAAGATCTTTTCCAGAAAATGTGCGAGATGTTGAGATAAATAAAGTATAATAAAGAGTACGGAATATGTGAGAGAGATGAAAGTGTTCATGAAATTGGTTTGTGAAAGAAATATAAAAGAAAGTGTGATAACATGTAACCATTTTTAAGATGTTTCTCTTTCTAGATCTCTTATGTAAAACAGAAAATATATAACTTAATCATCAATATCCTTGAGAGTCATTTTTATAATATTTGCACCATGTAAATAGTGAAGAGAACCTCCAAATTAAATGTAAGGACCTTGTAAGTCATTTTGATCTGAAATTTATCCTAAGTGAATTATAGCAGATGGTATTTCTTGCGTGGCATTTTGGCAATTGTATGGGTTTCACACCAGATCTGTCTTGCATAGTGTTTTGTTATGTACTATGTACAAGGGGTAATGGAATATATATCTATATATTTTTTTATTATTTGCTAGTAATTGTATATGATTATACCTTTATCTGCATTACATAAAAATGACCACATACAAATAAAAATTTATTTATTAAATACAGGAAAAGAAAACTATATTTACTTATCCCTGTGTCTTCCTGTTTATTGATTATTTCTGTATATAAGGAAAATGCATGTTAGCATTTATATTTCACTATATATACTATAAACTTTATTAAGTTGAGAGACTGTATTAAATGTATTCACTGTTTACTTGTAGAAAAGGTATGAATGAGACTGGATATTTTGACAATATGAGAGATTTATCTGACCGGTTTCGATAATGTCTTCATCAGAAATACATGTATTTCTGATGAAGATGTAATCAAAATCAGTCAAATATATCTCTTGTATTGTGAAAATATCTAGTCTCATTCATACCTTTTCTACATTTGTCAACATGGACAAGGTTTACTGTTTACATTTCAAGAAATTAAAATATAAAAATTCTGAGAACCAATAATTTGTTACTGGCAGATACACACTTCTAATTCTTTCAGTAGATGGATCCCCTGCTTACCTGTAGTTTATTGAATGCATCTCTTTTTTTTAAATGAACACCTGCTTTGTATGAAGTAGATTCCTGTGAGTGTTTTATGTAAAGTTGTTCAATAAAAATGCATTGTTTTCTATGATTTTCAATTAACACTATTGAGTATGGTACTTGATATTTGATTAAATTTCTTAGTTAATAGTCCCTTTCCTCTCTTGCTGTAAGTTTATTAGTTATTAATACTTTTCCTATTCCCTTAATCTGTTCATAGTGGTTGACTTAAAATGAAAAAGATGTGAATGAGACTGAATAATTTCACAAGACAAGATGTCTCATTATTTCTGATGTTTTCCAAGTGATTTTAATGTTAAAAGTTTCAAAAGGTTAATAACACATCTTGCTTGTCACATTATTCATTCTTATTTCTGCTATTTTTAGACATATGGTACATTAAGCTCTATTCACTTCATACTTTGTTACTGGGATTTATTTACTCTGTATGTTCCGACATTGTAGATCTTCCTATAGTAGGTTACCTGCCTATAATAAACAAGCTTCAGTATGTCTGCTTTAATTTTTGTTAAATATACTTTAAGATACTGTGGTAATTTTTTTTCGTACATTCTTCAGAAACTAGTGGTCATTATGGCAGTCACCCCGGGGTTTCCTTGATTTTCATTGATTCTTTTTCATTATTTTTACTTTAATAGTATTTCAGGAACATTATATTTATCATAATATCAATAATGATTATAGCAGTATCATTATTGTTAGCATCAGAAAAAAAACTTTTTCCTTCAAAAGGGAAAATCAGGTGCCGTCACTAAGGTCTACTCATGGCTGAGTACTTATGAGGCCATCTGTGTGCAACAAAATTCACAAAAAAATTATATTGGACAGTCTCTAAATCCACTGCCAATGAGTTAATCATTGGATGTCTTTCTCATACAGCTTCATCTGTTGATTTATATCTCTTCAGTCTTTGTTGCCTTTCTGGGCTTTTTGATTCCATTAAGTTGTATGAATTTTTAGAGCCATGGTCTAAAAAGTTCCTTTTTTCTGCTAGGTCTTCAGACTAAGCAATATGCCACATCTACACATACACACATACATACCTGGCTTTATCATCCATATGTCTGACATTGAAAGGATGAATCCCAATCTCCCTGTTACATTTCCATAATCTTGACAAAATAATTTTAAATGGGCATTATATAAAAAGGTGTAAGAGCTTTACACTGAGGTAGGATTGTTAAATTTTTAAACTTTAAGTGCTTCCATCCCAAAAATACATAAAAAACACTAATCTGAGCTTTCTTCCTATCAACGAACTGCTTCATATTATTTGCCCAATAACAATATTTCCCTGATATATAGGTTTTAACTGTAAAGAGCAATACTTTTGTCAATCCCAATCCCATTTGACTCATCAACCTAAACCTAAACAGTATTAACTAAAATCACTGTCTGTTTCTTGCTTCCTGATATCACATACAGTAGAAGTACATACTTACGGCATGCAAGACAGACAAATACTAAATTTCATTTAATACCTCACATTCCCTTTCCTTATCATTGAGAACTCGGACATTTTAAAACATCATTTAAAGGTTTTAAGGGTTGGCTACTTCCTTGTGTTTCAGCCAAGTTCCCACCCCCTTTCCTCCTTTAGTGTGCACTAGTAGGGCTAACTCTTCTTTAGATGTATGAAGAGTATGTTATTCATATGCAGCCTGATTATCTCCCAGATGTTCTGTGTATACTTATTGTGCCTCTTGCATAATATCCGTTTTCAAGTTAATTTCAGATTATTTAGTATTGGATGTGATACAATAATGTATATATTGATACTTTGCTTATCATTGCTTATCTCGTTACCTTGTCAAACGGCCTTTTACATAGACAACATGGTATAAATGCTTCCTTATTTTTCCCTGTATGTGCTTCATGATATATATAGCCTTTGTAACTGACTTTCCTGCCATAAACCCTGACTGTCATCAATATTTACGATGTTCTTCACTATCTCGTCTAAAATTACCTCCTATATTTCATTCCACGTTACATTCTCAGTCTTCTACATTGTCCATACTGTAGTATACCACCTGTCGCCTTTGTACAGTAATATTGTAAATCGAAAGCGTCGCGCCTCTTGACTTCTCTCATCCCACACGATCCTCTAATACCCTCTTATTATTCCCTTTATCCCAGTCCTTCCGGTCTTATTCAGCATGTCATTGGTGAGTCCTGACGCGCCAGACGTTTTTTTCCATTTTTTCCTCTCAAAAAATGCTTGTTGTTCTCTGTTGGCATTTTCTTTCATTTTCTTGCTTCCAGTTCATTCCTGTTTTCTTAAATAAGTCCTTGTCAGACTCCGTAATAGTACGTGCATCCTTTCTCAATATTACTGTTATGATTATAATGACGACTTACGATTGATGTGATGACGACGAGTGTTATTATTGATATGATTTTACTATCATGATTGTAAAGATGAGGATGATAATGATTATTATATAATTAATATGATTATTGTATATCATCTTTATCATCATTATTGTTATCACTAGTTTCGCATCATTCTTCATCGTCATCATCACCATAATTATCGTTTTATTGTTATTATTATTGTTATTTTATCATCATCATCATCTTTATTATTTACTATTTATCTACATCATCTTTTATGTTGACGAGTCAAAACAGTCCGTGATATTCAACAGCCAATACTATGCAATATTCAATCAACAATCAATGATAAATATGAAGGACTTTCACCTCTCTACCTTGGCCAGAGAGAGGGAGAGGGAGAGGAGCAGGGCGAGAGGAGAGGGAGAGAGAGAGAGGAGAGGGAGAGGAGAGGGAAGAGGGAGAGAGGAGAGAGAGGAGAGAGGAGAGAGAGGAGAGAAGAGGAGAGAGGAGAGAGAGAGAGAGAGAGAGAGGAGAGGAGAGAGAGAGAGAGAGAGAGAGAGAGAGAGAGAGAGAGAGAGGGAGAGAGAGAGCGAGAGAAGAGGAGAGAGAGAGAGAGAGAGAGAGTAGAGTAGTAGTTATGTTTTTTAGGGATGAGAGAGAGAGAGATGAGAGAAGAGAAGAGAGAGAGATGAGAAGAGGGAGGGTAGAGTGTTAGAGAGTAGATGTAGAGAAGATGAGGTATGGAGAGAGTGGAGAGATATAGTATGATGAGAAAGAGGATGATGATGAGTTGTTTTTGTTATAGATTTAGTAGAGAATTATGAATGAATGAATCCATCGAAGAATCAGGCATAGGAGTAAGACACTCATTTGTACGTCACTTCTTTTTTTTTTTTTCGGTACCGAATTTTTATGCAGATGTGTTGTCCGCTACAGGTATTTTTTTTTCTTTTCTTCTTTGGTGGTTGTGTGTCTGTGTCTCTGTTGTGCGTCAGGTGTATGGCTGTAGTTGTGGGGGTGTGTGGTTGTGGTTTTAGTGGTTTTCTTATGTCATAAATTTGATTATGGTGGGGGTGGAGCAATCTATCTTCTGAAGTTGTCAGAAGTTATACTGTGAAATATATCATGTACTGACACCTGTATGCGTGAGAAGAGATTCTCTGCATTAAGTTGCCTGCAGGAGTTGATAATTCGTCTGGGATTTTCCTGTGGAAAGTCTATCCGGAAATACCCGAGTACAGGCCCCGCGCTACTTGAACGTGAGACTGCCGGTTTCTGAAGATGGTACAACAGGGATGAAGATCAGCTGTGTTACGCGCCAGCATCATGATCGGTAGACATCATAAGAAAGCTGCGTGTGTAGTTACGTAAGAAGACATTGCTGAATTCCTTCAACAACTTCACTGCCGATCTTGATAGCAACCGAGACGCTGTGGTTTATACACTGCAGCTTATTGACACCATATCAGCCACAAAGAGAAGTGCTGAGGAGCTTGAAGCTTAATCCATTGCCTTCACAGCTAGTCCTACTAGGGTTGACGAGGAGTGGCACAGTCTCGTAAGCTCAAGTGACACCCTTTAGGTGGGGTGGGATTCAGGCAGACCTAAGATTCTCAGATCAACTAATCGTGATCAGAGAACTTACAGGTAGCCCCCCGACAAATTACGCTGCCACATCCAGCTGCTTACTGCACGGAGTGAATAGGAACAGTAGCGATACAGGCCCGACTTCCACGCCCTCACATACTGGCCCACAAAGGACGGACGGCCAATAGGTGTTGAACAGAACAACTGGCAGACCAAATCAGCAAGAGGACAAGTACAGTAAAGTTCCGTCTTCCAAGCAAATCCGCATTTTCTTCAATAACTGCAAAAGACCCAGACACGCAGACGAGAACTGCAGACGAAAACAAGTGTGAGTAACTGCTTCAGACTGGACTACACTGAGCAGGAGTGTCGCACTAAGGAAAGTGAAGAGAAGCAAACAGTTCTTTCCGAAACCTCACAGCAGAAGCAAGCTTCACAATAGCAGCTCTGCTAGGCTCATAAACATCAATCAGCATCCTCAGTCCATTCCTAAACCCAAGCAATACCAGCCTACAATACCAATAGTGGTTTGGTTCCCATCAAGTGCCCCGCAAGTCGCCCAATCCAAGGACCTGGAGCCTGTAATCCCTGTTCAGGGCAATCAAGGGATATATCAATGGGTTTTATTTTGATTGAATGTGTCTCTAGCGGGTCTTATATAGACCTGAATGGATGTTCTGTACAAATGACACATTGAATGTTATGGGATCTACACCTTCGACGATTTTGCACTTGCGGATAATCGGCATGCGACATTGGTGCCACCTTTTTTTTGCTTGATTTGGATC